TCCTCCTTTTGGGTATAGTATTTATATAAGGAATATGATCTTACTTGAGTCAATTACCAAAAAAACGCTACTCATGTTAGCTATAGGGGATTATATAGGGAATATATAGGGATATATAGGGTTTAGGGTGGAAAGTCCTTAAAGGGTGTTATCTAGAGGATTCTGTAAGCGATCATTCTGGGGTTATTAAGTGGATACAGGAGTTTAGACTATAGCTGCTATGGCTGATAGTAGCTGGGGTTACTATTTGGCTTGTAATTGTAGGACCTACAACCTTTAGGGGTTGTAACTTACCAAGTCCCCCTCACCCCAAGTTTGCGAGGGACATCCGTTCAGGATTCCACGTTAGTTCCAGGGAGGGTACTGTCTAAGCCGGTTCTGTTAGAGTGGCGCATCGTTTGGGGTTTTTGGGTTTAGGGTTTAGGGTATCCACATGTATCTTGAAGAAGATCAACTGACTATCATTTGTGGGAAGATGAGTGGACCCTCTTCGTGACAGTTCATATGACCGCGGAACCACTCACAGTGACCAGAAAGGGCAATGGTGAGAGAGTTCGGGCCAACCCTAAAGCCTAAACCCAAAAACTGGTTGCCGTTAAGGAACTTAAATTAAGTCACGATAATGGCTATGTATAGAGCAAATAATGAGGTTTCCTCAAGATAGTAACTTAAATTAAGTTCCTTAAACGAAGCCCAGATAATTAGGGTCCGTGGACCACCCAGGATCTTTCGGTGTTGTTTGATCGGGCAAAGAGGCAGATGGCAGGGTGTGCCTCATCAACGTTGAGGCTGCCCCTGGACGTTGTCATTTTCAAGAGTGTAGTCCATAGGGAGTAATCGTTGGTTTAGGACATTCAGACGGAATTCAGACTGCCAAAAGGACGAGCGTGCCCCAGCATCTGCATCTCTCAGACAGACTGTTGGAGTCAGCTGCGAGCGTCCACCTGTCATTAATAGAAGGATTTGGTAACTCCAACCCCAAAAATTAGGACCCTATAATTTATAACCATCATATGATAGTCAGAGGGTCCGAATACTGGGGGGTTGGGGCTACCAAAATTTTGCTATTATTCACAAGTTGGTGCACCTGGCTCACCGCTAGAAGGGCCCTGGGGAGAGCTAGTGGATCCACATCTTACATGCCCCCAAAGAGGTTGACCCTTCTCCTTCTATGGGGTAGGCTGTCAAACTCAGGGTGCATTTTAGGCCCCTTGAACTACATAGGGTACCCAACAGGGACCATATATTGGCACGCCCCGCATATCGGTGAAGGAACCCATTCAACAGAAGTGCCATCATCCAACTTAGACTTGGGGCTTAGCCGTTTGCTGCGAGAGCTCGCAGAGAAGTTCAGCAGCCCGTCTTTCACCACAGGATCCTCCAAGAGAAGGGTTTAGGGATCAGGGATTTAGGGTTTAGGTTTAGGGTTTCGGGATTTTGCAAGAGATTTTGGGTTGCTAAACTACCCCCGCTGTAATAACCCTCCGCAAGGCTTTCGCTTCTGTAGGCGTATTTAGGCTGAACAAAGGTTTATTACTTGAGGGGTGGTTCTCGGGTGCGTTGTATGCTTGGAGGGTCAGGGCGATCTCGAAGAAGGTTAATCACCCGTATAACCCACGCAGTAACCCTAGTTTTCCCCCTTACTAATCTGCTTAGTGAGTCTCCCTGACCCTCCAAGTAGGGGACTGGTTATTATTTGGGCCATGGGTTGATACATGTTTGGAAAGTGGTTGCTCTGGAGCACAGCTTTGTTTCTACTACTCCCTAAATCCAAAACCCTGAACCCTAAACCCTAAATCCTAAACCCTTTGATTCAGTTTCTGCAAACGTGAAGACCAAGGCGTGCTCGCGATGGACGACCCACGCCTGAAATGGAGCAGCGGGTTGAGGCTGCCTGTGTCATGATTGTATAGGGGTTTGGGTTTAGGATTTCCTTAAAGGGGGTAATTTAAGGGTTAGGGTTGAGGGTTTCCTTTCAGGGGTTTGTGGAGGATTTTGGTTTTAGGTTTCCTTAAAGGGAGCAATGTAGGGTTTAGGGTTTCCTTAAAGGGGTTAGTATGGGGTTTAGGGTTAGTGTTTCTTTAAAGGGGGTAATCTAGGGTTTGGGGTCGAAGCTCCTTAAATAGAGGATTATTTTAGGGCTTATTCAAGGGGATACGAGGAGTCGAGACTATAGCTGATATGGCAGCATACAATAAGGGATTGTATAGAGATATATATGGGTTCTATAGGGCTTAGGGATATGACTTCAATACTACAGAAAGAAGTGGAAAAGAACCTGGACAATTACATGGGGATCAATCCTGACATGGTAGGTTTCATAAATAGGGGGACCCCGATACAGACCCCACCAGCATAGGAACCCTCAAGGTTCCCCTAATTTTGGGAGACCCCCATAAAGGATTTGACAGGGGTTATATTAGGTTACATAGGGCTACATCGGGACTATAGGAATTATTTAGTGAGCGTATAGGAACTATAGGGTTGTGATAGGGGTTCTGAGTTAAGCCGAACGTTTGCCCGTCTTGGAAGATAATACCACCAGTCCACAACTAACCCAGTAACCGATTGCTCTTATCCGGAAATGTGAAGTTCATTCTTAAAGGCGAGTGGGGGAGTAGATCCTTACAATATTCTGTGTATATCCCACACCCGTTGCTTGCCCCCCTGATAGTAAGCATCAATAAGGCCCCAACAGCACACCATAGCACACCCAACATCCTGGACCCTATATGAAAAACAAAAACCTTACACATCCTTATAACCCGTTTAAACCCTAAATCCTAAACCTCAAACCCTAAACCCTGAACCCAAGGCTATAGGTGCCTTCTAAAGGACCCTGAAAGTCAATGGTTCTTAGAGGTTTCCCCGCTCGCAGAGCTGCCCAGCTGTGAAAACGTGTGCGGGGCCCGGCATCTCATGCTCCTGGGCGCTTCTTCTAGGGTTTAGGGTCTAGGTTATTTTAGGGTTTAGGTTTTAGGGTTTGGGGTTTAGGGTTTGGGGTTTAGGGTTTGGGGTTTAGGGTGGGGGGTTTAGGGTTACCAGCATGAAGCCGAGCAGTTATTTTGAAACTGGGATTATCCTGTTGTTTTTGGGCTGTTTTATGCATACGCATGAAACGCTCTGTACTATATACAGCCCGAATTATCAGTAAGATTGTCCCCTGATAGGTCTTATACAGCTACAAAATGGTATAGCATAAATCATCCCAGTGCTCAAATTGAATTATGTAGGCGCCTGAGCGTTACTATGTTTGCTGCGTTTGTGTCTGTTGTTGCCTGCCATTTGGCAAGTTTGACGGTACAGCTGTTTGGATGCCTTTCTACTTTTGCTAATTATTTCCATTATTTACGAGTACTATTGTTTGTACTCATTTTACTTGATGCTGTGAGCACTAGATGGGAAACCT